CCTACTGATCTGTTAAGAGACTTATCGCAGAGTTCAAATAACTAAATCAAGAAGGGTAACTACTCTTTATTTCACTCCAAATAAGGTGAACAGTTGGCCCCTTTCTCTGGCTTACAGCAAAGTCTCTACTCTGGCTTAGCTCAAGTCAGAGTAGAGAAACTAAGAAATAAGAAATAAATTAGAATAACTAAAGTAGACTTTTCCGAAGCTAACACAATTATCTAAAGAAGTTGGCTCTGAGTTTAAACTAGCCGGCAACCATCAAAAAGCAAATCATATAAGGCGAGCACAACAGATTCAAGAGAGACTTAGCCCGAAGGCAAACACGCGCTACTCAGAATTCCTAACTCTCTCTTACGAAGTTCTCTTACGAAGAATTGTTCACATGTTATTCCCATCTTATGGCCCCTCGTCTGTAAACACACCCCACAATGTACAGTATATGTGATCAATGAGGTCAAATATGTATTTGACACGTGGTATATGTGTATCATTATTTTTTAAGTGTGTTTTATTTATCATAAGTCTTCAGCGTTAATCAAGTGTATCCCTCTCCCCCTTTCCTTCCCTCTGCGTGTGCGTTTTCTGTACATTTTCATGTTTTTGTGGTTTTCATACATTTAGTACCTAGCTCTCAGTCCCTCATCTGTGAATCCGTCCCACAAGTCTCATACCTGTAATTATGTAATTAGTCATGCAATGTTAATAAGTCGCCCCTGTTTGGCCATGTAAACTCCTGCGCTCTTAATAAGCTCCCGCTGTGGACTCTTGAGGCCACAGGGAGTTGTTGCCATTAGATAGTGGAAGGCGAGGGACACATGCCTGTTTATCTCTGGTAGCCACCAGGCGTCCCCGTCTTCCGTCACCTACCTACCCTACCTACGAAGAATTGTCGTTGTCGCCGCGTCTAGCTTGCAAAAGTGCAAGCTGTATACCAGCTATCTTCAGTTGATTGGCTTAATGTAGCGATGCAGGGACAGAAATGCCTAAGTGAGTCCTGGAGACTAGTCCTGTTTATGAGAAAAATACAAATATTTCTCATAAACTGGAAGACTATATACATAATGTTTACAACTATTTGCATAAAATAAATAATGAGGATGAAGTCAAAATCATGCTATATACATAGTTTCAGCTGAGATCTTGGACAGAGCAGATAAGAAAGCACATTCAAGCTTTTTGTAGGAAAATTTTGGTTATCGCTGAGCATGAAAGCCGAAAATGGGCGCAGATGGCGGTCCTCTTGAAGAATCTCGTAGCCGTAAAGTTCAGTGGTTCATTATATTACATTCTTGTGCTTTCGGATGGAAGCGTTCATTTAGTTTTCTGAGAAACCTTGCCAACAGTTCGATCTTAAGGTCTTCGTGAAGACATTTGCTACGTACATAGAAATGGACATTTGTAATGATGCAAAGGTATCTGCTTTGCACCACTCGAAGCTTTTTAAGATCATTATTGGAGATAGTTGCCCATGCCAGGGAAGGGTAAGTCATGACTGGTCTGATAACGGAGAGGTAGTAAATAAATCTCTTCTTGTTCAGCTCTAGTGAAGAGTATTTCCTAAAAATTGGGTATAAGCATTTGATGATTTTAAATGCCCTGTCTCGCACATTATTAAAATGATGTGTCCAAGTAATAAAACATCAAGATATTTAGCCTTGGAAACCACCGGAACATTTTCGTTGAATAAAGTAAGTTGTTTTTTGATCGGAGCATTCATTCTGCGTTTCCGAATGATCAAGAGCAGTGACATAGAGGCATTAATTTGGATTTTCCATTATGCACACCACTGTTCAATCGAAGGAATGAGATCTTGAAGTTTTTATACTACGGGATTTATATTTGCAGATTTCACAGCTAACATCGTGCCATCTGCATAGCACGCCAAAATAAAGTTGTTCTATAGAATTTCTGAAAAATCTGTAGAGTAAAATAAGTAAAATATTGGTCCTAGGACAAAGCCTTGAGGAATACCACTACGAATATTCTTTTTGCAAGAGTCAGCACCATTTACACAAATATAAAAGTCCTGTTCGTGATGAAAGAATGTGTTGTAAGTAATAACTCTCTATCAAAGTGACAGAAAATCAGTTTCGAGATAAGTCGCTCATGCCAGGACGCGATCGAAAGCTCTCGCCACATTTTGCATGAGGAGAGCAACACACTGTTTATTATGCAACGCTGAGTCAGCAAACTCCGTAATTCGCACTAATTGCTTGGCCGTCGAAAGCTTGGGTCGAAAACCAAATTGTTCAGGCGGTATTAAATTGAGATAAGGTTGCATTCGTGACACAATAATCCGTTCGCAGATTTTTTCTAGCACTGGTAGCAAACTGATCGGCCGATAACCGCCAGGTTTAATGTGATCCTTACCAGGCTTCGGAATCAGAATATCTTTTGCACATTTCCATAAGGTAGGAAAACAGTTGTGATAAAAGTATGCATTTAAAATGCTGGTTTACAAATAACGTTGTGCGGCAGGTTTTTGATAGCAGCATTTGGGATTCCGTTATTACTGGGCGCTTTGTGCGGCTTTTTAATAATATTCACATCTTCCGCAGGAGGGACAAATTCCGAAATATTTTTGATGGGTGGTGCACAGATTCCATTATGCACTAGAAATAACGTAGATGATTCGAAATTTTTATCAATAGGCCATTCATTTGGTGTGAATTGTCTCTTAAGAAGTAAATTGAACCTTCCATGAAGTACTCCTTCTATCTCATTTGCATTCAACGCGATTCTAAAAACTCATTCTGGTAGGGAATTGTAAGTGTAAATAAGAACTGATGGGAAAGCACTTTAAAATTAAAATAACTGTTAAAAAATTAAAATATACCTTAGACAATAGTTGTAGGATTTCAGATTCTATTACTCTTCATAATCTTGCTTTCTCTCATGAAACCAATGGAAATAAAACTGAAGTTCTGTAGCGGCCTTGGCGAGAAATAAATGGTTAATGATGTGCGCAATAATAAATAGAATTTTCTGGAATGTTTATATGTGTTGTTACTTTAAATATTTTGCCTACATAATTATATTAAAGATGGTAATTAATTTATACGTATATATTAAACAAGTTTCGTGGAATTATATTATTTTAAATAAATTGCCGAAAAATTGTTTTAGATACCATAAAATGTTTTAATTAAATTTGCATTAAATTCCTTCTATATGTATATATTAAATAATTTACATTATACGCATATTGAATGATTTGCCGATTTATCGTTTACCGTAGTCCATTTCGTTTTCGTGGATATTTAAATCACTTGGTAACAAATTGCACTTTCTTAAGCACAAATTGCGCAAATGCTCTTTTCTCTAGCCAAAAGGTCAAGTTACCTTGTATTAGTTTACGAAGCTAAAGGAACTAAAACTGAGGCATCCCGTAAAAAATTTCTGCGCTTAGGACACCAGACTTTCTTAATGACTGACTGTATGAAAATAACATAGCATCCTCTTCTCTACTCTAACATTCCTTTTTCTGCCAATCATGACTTGATAGAGAAAGAGGGTTGGAAGACCTTCGAATCTATCCCCTGTGATTTTCTGCATCGAAATTGGGACGGTGTATGGTGGGGACTATATTTGTAAAACCTCTGGGTGGTAAAGTCCGGTACACTACTTCTTGGCCTATCAATCATGACAAGCTAATGCGTAGAGTAATATTCGAATAGGAAATGTGTCAGTCAGCTTGTTACCACTTTATTTTTATACCGTTTTTATTTTAATTTGAAATATAATAATAATATTTTCAAAGAAGGCAGTGATGATTTCAGTATATAGAAATAATGAAAGTGGAAGTAGTATATTCAATATGGCAAAGTAGAAGAGACTGAATTGAACACAGATTCAGAAGAATTTTTTGTTTAGCATTCTGTATTATTGCTTAGCATTCTTAGCCTATAAGAAAATTTTCTAGTAGTGGAAAACGTATCTTCTGTCAGAGTAAATTTAAACTATTTTTTACCAAAGTAATTTAATAACCTTCTCCCTTAAGTTGGGCCACCGAAGACATAGATGTTTGTAAGATTATAGTGTCTGTGCAATACGGAAACACGTAACTTAGTGTGGATAGCTGAATGCCCTGTTGAGAGGTTTGGTGTTAGGAGAAGAGCTGCGAGATACTCTAGAATCCATTTCCTGGGAAGTTCGCCATCAGAACTGGGACAGAGTTAACACTTAGTGCGGTTGAGACCATACATGAAAAACCATTAGTTACGTTTTGGTACCTCTGCCACTTCTTCCTTCTTGCTGTTATCCTGACCTTGGCAAAATGAGTAGAACAATATAGATGGAGCGCTATAAAGGCAATGAAATTATTCTCTTGATTGATGATTTAAAATCCCACGTTAATTTCTATGTCAATCAATGCATTCTAGGCCACGGTACTTTGCTCAGCAAGAAATATAGTACATATTAGTCAATATAATAGGCAAAAAATATAAGAAACAGCGATCTTTGAATTTGTGGAGAAAGAAGGGAAACTTGATGTTGTACATTCGCAAACCAATTTACGTAAGATTTAAACTGCAAACCAATCCCAGCAGGAATTATAGCATATAAAATAAATACCTAATAATAAAGGGTCTTTTAAAAAACCATCATTATTAATTAAGCAGGAGATGCGTCATTATTATTTAAGTAGCATCATTATTAATTAGTTAATTAAGCAGAAGATGATTCATTATGTGTTTAAAACATTATTAAAAGAACTTTTTTCTAAAATGATATGCACGGTCTCGTACCAAGGTTACTAACACGCCAGTCGCCTAGAAAACATTTTGTGTACATTTTATTTAACTTTAGATTAAGTAATATTTGAAGCATTACAGCTTTAGAAAGATAACGCATGAGTCTACATCTGATAAAAAAAGTATAGAGCTGCTTCGTGATAGGCCCTACATCTGGTGTTACAATTAGGCAATGCCGCATTAGATATGAATTTTACGTTTACGGTACTTTCTAACAGATATAAACAAGACATTTATGCATACCTGGTGAGTAATGGCTTCTTTTTCTTTATACTTCTCTACTACATATTCCTTGAGTTCTGCATCAGCTAAGGTTCTTGGAGTTGGAGTAAAAAATCCTCCAACTGGCGTGCGATCCGGTAAAGGAGTGGTGGGCAAAGGCGAATAGCTGTAATTCTTTATGGGTTGATAAGTTGGATGAGGAGGTTGAGGAGTTGCTCTCGGTGGTGACATCGGCTGAAACATGGGAGCCCTCGGTAGTGTTCGTGAAGATTCGGTTTCCCGGAGTAACTTTGCATACGGATGCATGCCTTCGGTTGTTGGCAACGGGCTTATAGGTGTAGTAGGGGTTTGAGGAGCGCCAGGTAACCTGTATAGAAAAGAAATAGGAGGAAATTTACAAAAAGGATGAGATTTAACATACATCTTAATATCCCTGTCTCAATATCCCTGTATTAATATCCCTGTATCTTAATATCCTGTCATCTTAATATCTCTAATTTTCGGTTCCTGCATTTCTTCAAGCTTTCGCAGACTCTTTAGTACTATGAGAAATTTTCCTGCAGCCTTAAAGAAAAAACAGGAAGTTTTAGTAACATAAAACTTGGCCAAAGTTTTGTTCTTTAGGGAAACAGAAATTTGTGCACGCGAAATAGCAAAAGATATGTCCACAGTCACTTAAACATGAAATTATTCGAAAAGTGTGAATTTCAATTTAAGCGTGTGTTTAGTATCGAAAAGTCGTACGTAACAAAAATTAAATCTTTCTAAATAGTTAGGGCTGACTGGGTGGCAGAAAAATGCATACCTTCCATATTCACACCAGAGGAGATATAGTCATATATATGTTGGATCTGCCAGTGCATACCTTCCATGCTCACACCACAAAAGGTATAATTATATGCAGATTAAAATAACCGATTATTTGCCTCCTAACGCCTTCCAGCTGCTGTTAGTATTTTTAGTGTCTGTCAGCACATACATTTCATGTTCACACCAGAAAGAATATAGTCATATATAAATTGAAATATACCACTATTAACCTGCTAACGCCTTCCAGCTGCTGTTAACATTTGGGGGAAGTTCTGCTGGTGCATACTTTCCATGTTCACATCAGAAGAAATATAGTCATATGTAGACTGAAGTATACGTCTGTTTTTACTGATAATGCCTTTCAACTGCTGTTTACATTTTCGGGGTCTGCCAGTACATTCCAGTTTCGCACTTGAAGAGGTATAGTCATCTGTGTGATTGAAATTGTCGAGTCATTAGGTTTCTTGTTGAAGCAGGAGACTATGAAAAATAAGCAATGGCCTCGTAGAGACTCGAACCTGGACCTCTCGAATACATGCCGAGTATGCTAACCATTACACCACGGAGGCATCGAGAAAGGAGGGAGAAAATACCTTATAAAGTATACGAATATTTTCTTGCCGGTGTCTTCCAACTTCTGTTAATATTTTTGGTGTCCTCATGACTAATCCATTGAACCATTTTCACATGTAAGAGGGAGATTAAGGTCATATTCGCTTTCGTTATGCCTGAAGACATCGAATTAGAAATAATAAAACTTTCTAAACTTTCAATGAAGTTATCTCAGATGGTATGATTCAGCCCTTTTTTAAGGATAACAGGAAGCGTTCTTCTCGGTTTCCATCGTTATCACTCACCTGCGAATGAGGAGCTGCAGTCTTGTGCCCGCAGCCTTGATGAGGTCATAGGCATCCATATGCGTCAGGTCCCCAGCATCACGGCCTTGAACTTGAAGGATGGTATCCCCTCTTTGTAGTTCACCTTCCGATGGACTCCCCAGGAATACCTGGCAAATAAAAGTTCCCATTAGTACATCTTGAAACAGTTTCATATTTCACTTTATTAAGTCAGTGATGATTGCATAATGTTACTATTACATCAATATAGGTCAATATTATCTGAAAATTTTAGATGTTCACTCCTTTCAAACATTTTGACTCCCTTTTGACTTTTGACTTTTACCCTTTTGACTCCTGTTTAAACTTAATTAATTTTATAAAACTATAAGAAATTATCTCATCCCTCCTTGTATGCTTTCGGGATGTAAGTGGTAAAATGTTTAGCTAGTAGTTTGAAGATTCTGCTGTGGTCACGTTTAGCTTCTCATATTTCCTTCTCCAAAAAATCTCATATCTCTGTTGAATTAAGTTAGCCAATAATTGTCATTGCATGGATTTGGTCGACTGATCCTCGTGTCTTTTCCCATTTGTTTCTTATATGGAGAGAACATAAGGAATTGCCACATTCTCCTGGCCGAGTTCTCGTGTTATGAAAGTGGTTAGGATGTTCAGCTAGCAACTAGAAAATCCGTGATTCGAACGCTACCGAGAGCATTACTGAAGTTTCACGTTCTTTAATTCAAAAACCTTCTTGTCTCCACAAAACAAAAATTTGGATTTTTAATAAATTACGTAATTTAGACCCTTTCGGCTGATTTTATTCGTTTAACTGCAGTACACCAAAAGATGTTTTAATAATGTATGATACAAAAAGTAATGTTTATGTTAAATACAGGATCAACAAATGCGACAAATAATAAATAATTCATTATAAGTTGTAAAAAATAGCATATGGAATATATAAGCGTAAAATAAAATTATATAATAATGCATAAAATAATTTTTTGTACACATAACTAAATAAAATAAAAAAAAAGCAAATCCAAAATCACGGGGTAAAATAAAAGAAGGTATAGAAATACGCACAACAGAAACTTTATTTTACGACTTGCAGTTTGGCAAGATGTTTATATGTAACATTTTAAATGAATTAGGTTAAATTGCTTTGTTAATGTATTTAAAACTATTAACATTATTTAGGAATAGATCTTGGATTTCACCTGATCGGAATTTTTGAATGCTTAGACAAGCAGAATCCTGAGCTTTTACACCAGGAATTGTGAATTGAGAAAGAGAATCTTATAAGAGATTCAGCAAAATAAATTAGTATTATTATGGATTTAAAACCAAACAGTGAGCATTTTGTGATTACCATCATTACCGTCTTATTTTAGAAAATGCGAAGAAAACAAAAACGTAGTATGGCTTGGAAGCAATCAGCTGATCAATTTTTACGTTTTCACAGTGTTACGTGTTGCCATACTCTTTTTTAATATTTGATATATAAGGTATTTCTCCCGCATTCTTAGCATGCCTTCGTGGTTTAATGGCCAGCACACTCTGCGCGTATTTGAGAGGTCCGAAGTGCGAGTCCCGGCGAGGGCATTGCTCATTTCTTCAATTTCCTGCTTTAAAAAAATATAATGTTTCTACAGATATGCTATTTATATTTGAGATGCAAATTGATGAAAATATCCAGGAAAGAACTTATCCGGATTTTTTACGGATATCTTCAGCTGTAAAAATTGTTACTGCTTGGAGTTGTAGGAAAAGGTCCAAACTTTGGGTTCATTATTTTGCTCTTCTAGTATGTTTACACGAACTATTACTCTCAAAAAGAATAATTCAGAATTTGAAAAATATGATTAGAAAATATGAAAATATTTAATTGAATTATTTTTGGTTTTGAAGCTGATGATCTCAATGATTTGTAAAGCTATTTGAAATGGAATCCAAGCTGAGGATGGCAATGATTCGTAGAGCATTTAAAATGGAATCCTAACTTTTAAGGCTGTTATTTTGGAGAACATGTAAGATGCTTAATGGAGAAGTCAACCAACAAAAATCAGCTTTATATTTATTGCTTCACTTTTAAATTAATACTTGTTCGACGTTATTTTATCTTAATTATGTAAGATGCTATTTATATATATATATATATTAATGATTCTTACCACTATCTCTTCAGTTGAGAAAATCTCGTCAAGCATCATTTCCGCAAACCTGCGGATGCAAATGTAACAGCATGGGCAGCCAATGTATTTAAAAAAGGTTCTTGCTCTTAAACGCATAACGGAATGTGTAAACATAGCCAGTTAGTTCTATTTCCAACTTTTTCGATTAAATTATTTCCTTCAAATAATCACTAACAATACCAATCTTTGAGTTCTTTCTCACTCTATTGAACTTGTTTTTGGAAATCTATCCATTTCATTCGTATTTATACATTTCCTGTGTTATATCCGGTGAGGTTCCGCTATTGTAATTTTATTTTGCATTGTTTAATATATGCATTAATTAAAGTGCTTTCGCTGTTGTGAAATCGAATTACATTGTACATACGCATTATAAATTTACCCGTTTTGCATTTATTACGTTTCAACGAGGCCTCATCTAATTCATCTGTCTGCATCTTTGTAAATATAGTGTCTTCAATGTGTATTACCTGGCATGCTTATTATATAGTTACTGCTCTACCTTATTCACCGAGTTCCTTTGTTTTTACATCCTTGTACAAAGCAAAGGAAATATTGTAATCTCAAAAAATTTTGGGTATCATATTCCAATGAAAAAATCCATTTTGACCGCTCTCGAATCTATTTGAACGATGTTTTTGCTTTACAACTGTATCTACGGGCAGAGTAAAGAAACTCATTTTTCCAAAACGGCTTGTAAAATTGTTGTTGTTATGATTAATCCTTCTGATCTGGGCGTAATGCAGACCAAGCACATGAATTCTTTACGGCCAAGACAAAGAAGACAGCTCTTGACATTGGACAACGTCTTAGGCTCTTTATAAGTGATTACGAGTTATCCAATGCCATCTTTGTTCTGCTGGACTGATGGAAGGAACTTCTAACTCTTTTTACCTGCCATCAGCTTCTCGAAGGAACGTTCAGGTTAATGGTATTTAAAGTAGCCGCATGCCGCACAGACATTAGATTTACAACATCCATGTCTTCTTCGGAATTCGATCCCAGGGAATCCCCCCCCCCCAAATGACAGCCAGCAATACCGTATCGATCAGGGCGGCTCGGAGTTGAAATAAATCCGATGGCAAACCCAGTTTACATTTTCCATTAACAAATGCAAACAAATCGTTTTCAAAATATGTATTCACATCAAACGTCTCTCCGTGGCGTAGACTACTTCAGTAGGGTATACGAAGTCAAATGAGGGAAAATCAGCCGGGAGTCATACGGGGTTTAATAAAAAATAATTAGTTCCATTACAACCATTACATTGTTGATTGAAATGTTTGCTGTTGGCATAAATACAGATCATTATGTAGAAATTCAATAATTATTTTGTATAAAACTTATCTGCCAAGTTATAAGTAAAAATATTTCAAAAAGTTTAAAAATTATGTAAAAAAGGTGAAAAGTTCTTATTAAGTGAACTGTGCTGTTTAATCTTCAGCTTCACAATCTATGACATTCTATTATACATGATTTTCGCAAGTGAAAGCGCAAAGGTGTTTCAAAAGAAGTACCATTTCAAACATGTCTTCACTAGTGAGTTCAGTAGACAACTTTTGGTATTTGAAGTAGATATTAATTGCTTGTTTAGAGTAATAAAATAGTAAGTCGTAAGAAATATTTTTTTGATTAGGGTACAAAATGTTCGCATATGAATAGGCGGTGATTTAGATCTTTTGAGATAATTCAGGCCTAGTTAGATAAAAAAATAGAAGGTTAGTATTTAATATTTGTGCTTTTCCCAGATATAGTTCCAATATAGTTTTGCTTGTGTACCTTTGAGTTATAAGGTATTTCTCCCACTTTCCTAGCGTGCCATCGTCGTGTAGTGGTTCTCCACGTTGGGCCGGTATTCCAGAGGTCCGTGGTTCTATTCCCGGCGAAGACGTTTGCTAATTTTTCATTTCTCCGGCCTCGAAATAATTTAATGTCTCTACAGACTAAGATACGCCTTGGTTCACAAATTGGAAGAATGACTTCATATGTGTTATATTTTATTTCGTTATGATTTAAATGACAGGCTTAAAATGGGCGGCGCTAAAACCCAATAAATGCTGCTGTAAGAAATCAGAGAACTAAATTAAAAATGTATTTAAATTTAATATTAAATCAGTTCAATATGCTAATTTTTTAACATAACATATATGAACGACTGCATTACTCTGCCCATCAGTAATAACTGAAGGAAAAAAAAGAATAATTTATTCGTTTTATTATTATATTACGTTTAGTATACTTATTCAATAACGAACTTTCGTAGAATTCCGTTAACTAAAATATGGAGGGGTCGATAGTAGAAAATATTTTAGAGATTTCTGCTATACAGAAAAATCCGAAATATCTCAGGAAAACTCATTGGAAATGAAGTTGCGTTTTACAACCAATCAAGAGCTAAACTTGAATAAAGTATGAGTGTTCAGCATATGTTTGTATTTCCTTTTTGTCAGGCCATCTCAGATTTGTGATGAACTTTGTAGAATTTCAGTAACTTAGATATGGATGGGTTGGTAGGTGAAAACATTGAAATATCCTTGGCACGTATGAAACATCCGAAATGGATCATGAAATGCATTCAATAACAAAGAAATATCTTATACAACTAGGGAGATAATTGAACCTGAATAAATGTTTTAGAAAATGTTTCCATTTATATTTTACAAGTCTGAATCTCAAGCAAAATGCGGGGAGGTCGATAGTCGAAAACAATTCAGAGAATTATAGTATACATAAAATATCCGAAATGTCAAGTGAAATGCACTCACTTGAAAAAAAATCATCTTTTTCAATTAGTCAGGTGCTGAACCTGAACGAATCTCAGCACACCTTTCATTCACATTTCTCAAGCCATTTCTAAGTTATGGCTTTCATCTATTCGTGTTCGGGGGGTCGGGTACCGCCGAGATATGACAAGGATACACTGCATGGAGACGCTGACGATAGCACTTTCTCCACCGCTTCACGTTTCCTGC